TCAGGTCCGAAACTCTCTTGGAAACCCAATTTTTCAATGACTTCACCTTCTCCCTGATCGCGTTAAATCAACGGTCACATTAAAAGCATCGCGTGACACCGCAGTTCCGTCTGGAATATCGGCGACCCTTCCGAGATTCCTCTCTCTGGGACCGGTCGCCGCTCTATCATTTGCAGAACCAGATCTGCGACTCGCATACTGGGAGAAGTGAGGGGGGAGCGACGGTGCATACATGAATAGGAAAGAGCGCAGCGGTGGGATTAGGGGACGCGATTTAATAGTTTATCTCCAATTTTTGATCGGTTCTCGAGAGTCTACTGTGGAAATTCCGGCGGTAATTGGTGAGACCTACATCGATTCGCCTACGAGAGTCTTGCCGCACTGTCAAGGAGAGCCTGTGCTGAATGAATCAGTTATTTATGCGGTTTTCTACACCTCTTCATGGGGGGTCAGATTCGAGCTCATCTTGCAGAACACATACTCCAGAATATCGTGAGGAATATACGCAGCTGTTCTCCCGATAATTTCCATTCTACCAGCGAAAACCTCATCATAATTTATTGGTGTCGCATTCGCAGACTTATTAGATGTCAAAAGCGGACAAGATTTCGGTACACGAAGACGAAGTTTAGTTGGAAATACCCCTCAGTAAATTTAAAGACGTTTCACGTCAAAAGTTCCTAAGGTGGCCTCGGCAGTTTCTTTAAAGGATGCCCGAAGTTGAAGAGCTTCAAACTCGAAAGTCGGCGCCTTCCAGTGGACTCGAAAGACTTGTGGGTCGGCTTGACAGAAGCTCGATTTGAGGTGCTTTGCCTCGGAACAAAACTCCCGCAACAAAGCCCGGTTCGTGTCTTTCGAGACCAGATGACCGCGATATTCGGAAATTCGGAAGTGGTTCATCCGCACAAGTTCTCGAAAAAGTTCGTGGAGATCTTGAAGCTCCATTTCCCCCTTTTGGAGCGGATATCGCAAGGGACTGGGAGCTCTGTTGGATAATTAGTCAGGCAGGCTGCCTCTCGAGACGATGCTAAGTAAATCAGAAAAGGTACCCGCAGTAGAAATTCTCTGTCTCCTTCCGAAAGTGATATTGATGGGAATTCGACCTCTGTGCCGGAATTCGGTCGAGAAATGAAGCTGAAGATTGACAATCCACATGAAGCCTTTTGTCTCTCGGATACCCCTCAAGAGAAATCCAGTTCCGGGGAGCGTAAGTGAAGATTCAGATCTAGCTGAGAAAGCCTGACTAGGAATCTCGTTCTGGCAAGACGAGGCTGAGCTCAATTTTCTTGAGGGAGCTCTGCTGGAACCCGATTTTTCTCACGGAAAGGAATCTCGCGAGGGTCGAACCGATGATTAGAGTTACCTTTCGGACATCTCATATGCATCCGATCCGCAAGAGCGAAGACCGACGATCACATCAACGAGGGAATCGCCTCTGATGAGGTTTCCCTGTCGCCGGAAGATTTAGGAAAGACTAGAATAAGAATGCCGCACTATCCTCATTCGAGAGTCGGAAAATGAAAATGTCCGAAATTTAGTAACTCTACCGATTATGCCTCCCGGAAATGCACGAGGTCTCTTTAGGTGGGTCGTGCCTCATGCGTATTCATCGAGAGCATCGCAGAGTATTCAGCGACAGTTTTTTTCGCGATGGGAAGGCTCGCATGCATTTGGTTTCTCATTGTGGCAGAATGACTCTACGCGCTCCTTAGTCGAATTCATTAGAATCTTACCGATATATCATACACATGCAGGCAATCTATGCATGATCCTAAGATGACGGCGAATGTATCCCATAGATTCCCGGCTCTATGGGACGCAGATCCGAAGATGCGGGAGACGGAGGAATCCGACGGAACCTTTCCTCGTCCGGTACTTCATTATAGGGCAGGGTGATAGGTCAGTCAAGCTCGCAATAATGAGTACTAAGGGTCCAATTATATCAACCTTGGGAAAGGGGTAGAGCGGAATAAGGCATTATTTTCGGCCAAAGCGGGGACTTTAAATCTGGTGATATACGATGATCCCCCTCCCTTAGTGAAGCATATCGACGCAATTGGTCGACTTCAGTCGGCCCCTTATTTCCGAATGTTCGCGGAACAAAAATTCGGTCTCTGTCGACTCTTAAAAATGACTCATACTATTCGGGAAGCAGTACCATCGGTTCAATATTGGGAGGTATCCTTGCTTCAAGGTCGAAGACGAATGTTCCTTTATGGTGGGGCTCATCCGCACTGTGTCTGATCCATGGCTGGAGACGAGCCGGTGTAGAGTCGGAGGACGAAACTTTGTCTCATTCAATCGTTCATACTCCAATAGTCGAGGTATATGATGCGATATATGCGATGATGTGTAGCCGTGGGGGCGCTTCGCGCCCAGTAGAGCTTTTATGATGTCATAATGGGAAGGCTCAACTTACAATTAGCTCGAAAAATGAGAATTGGAGGAGCACGCTACTCTCGCGGGAAGCATGCGTCTGAGCAGCCTGGGAAGTATACCGTATTTTCTCTACTAGAAGGGCACCCCCTGATGATGAGGCACCCACGGAGGGATCGAGACATGGTCGGCCATCCCCCCTCCCTCCCCCCTATAATAAGAGCGCAATTTCTTTTTGTCTGTCAGTTCGCACCTTATACACTACTTCGCCTCATGATTCCATTTTGAATATGCGTGCAATCGATAGGGGACTCCCCAATCCTTTGCCTTCACTCGTTCCTCAGAAAAACTCCAAGTTTTTCCCCCATGCGTTATGGCTGTCAGAGGGCGTCGTCGCAAATCCAAGACGGCAGAGTAGCGCGGCAATCGACGCGGAATTTGAAATTGTCATCCATTGAGATCGAGCTCTTTCGATGGCTGCGGGCATCCAGAAGCTAGCCGAAACCTAAGACGCTCAACCCTGATAATGCATTGCGTGAAGATGTGAATCCTAGCCACCAAGTTTTTACGGATGAATTTTCTCCCCGCATACCGTTTCAGAGCCTCATAATTCACCTTTTCGGAGCCTCATGGTTCAAACAGGGGAACGAGCGTTCAAGTGCCCGTTCGTGCGTGAACTGCTATCGATGTATTATGGTGTTCCCTGTGCAATCGTTGTTTGTCTCCTGTCTCCTGTTTTCCGTGTATTCGTGCTTTCCGAGACATTTAACGATTTACCTGCATCCGTCGTTTTCGTGGAGTCATCCCTGCATTCGTGGTGTCTCCTGCGCAGATTCGTCGATTTCGGGGCGACTTCGTGCGTCATGATCCTCCAATATAGGTCCTCTAATAAATGGGCATCCTCTATTCGAAAAACACCCTTTAGCATTCGCGTCGACAGGGGGGTGTACAATCCTGTACTGATTGGAGAGCACACGGGCATCCCCTATTAGGAGGACGAGGTTCGAGGGGAACGGGAGACAGACGGGATTGCCTTTCTCGTACGGAAAATACGGTTTCTTGACCTCACAGAGGTGATATGGCATCGATCGAAGAAAGTTCGAAGTCCGTTCGGAGTAGGAAGGGGGCCCAAAATTGGATCGAGGGCAGACGGCCATAGCGATTTTGACCTAGTACTACGAAATTATGGACGACGAGCCGTGAGGGCGCTTCGCGCCCTCGCGGCTCAATTGCCCGCACGCCGGATGCGATTCTATCCAAGGCTGGAGCGAGTTTGTCGAGTGATTACGACGGAAATCGTGATACCGATTCGCAATGAATGAGTACGACAGCAAAGAACATGAGCACATGAATTAGCGTGAGAAAAATGAATCTTTATTCATGGATCTTGATCCTCGATCGTTTCGGCGAGGAAGTTGTTGTGCTCAATTTCTTTGAGTTTTGAACTCAGTATACATGGGTTGATCATCGAACTGTAATCCCGTGTATTCCGGCAGATGACACACATTCCGCAGTTGCCGATTAAACGGTTGACGTGGGAATCGAAATCCGATTTCTGCGGTCTCCTGATCGGAGGCGGCATTACGGACATCATTGTCAGATATTCACCTTTGAATGGTGAGGGCTCTTTTTCTTCGGATCTGTGGAAGAGAACATTCTTCCCGTCCGATAAAGGAATGCGGAAAATCGGAACCGTCGACATAGAGGTTATCATTGCATGACGACGGAGAACATTAATCAAGTCGGCTTTCCCGCGATGAATTCTCTTCTCGCTCATCAAATTGAGCATGATTCGGAAGACTTTCGGTCTCCCGGGACTTGCGAAACTTCGGCGACGGAGCGTTTTCGGTGCCTTGAGGAGCTTCCGATCGTTCGAGATCATATTTTGGGGAGGAGGTGGTGGGGCGGGATATTCACCCTGGTAGTACGCATCGATGGAAGACATAATGCCTGCGCGATTATGGAATCAGAGTCGATGTGAGGGGTTTGCTTCTTTTCCGCGGACTCGAGGGACGACATAAAAATAAATGACGGGAATAGTATTCCAGTGTATGAGCTCGGAACGTAGACTTACATCTGGAGTTCGGCACGATGTGTTTGAGTTTTGAGCGGTTCCTCAGAAGGTTTTTCAACAGCGTGTGATCGGGGTCCTCTGCGGAATTCGGCAGTCTTACACGGAATACTGCGCATGAATAGCCGCAACCGAAATTCCGTTGTAAACCGTCATTGTGTGAATCCATGCGTTTGCAGCGCCCTCGCTCTAGTCGCTTTGGTGAGCGTCTGCGCAAACTCAACTAATCAATGCTTTTCTTGAAAGTGATTCTTATGAGTCTCAAACTCTTGGGAGTTCCGAATACAGTGCGCAAAGCATCGTTCGCGTGGATCCCGGGCTTGATCGCGGACCTCAGATTGTCGTGTTCCTAAGACGCTTATTGAAGAGACTGTCGATAAAATACGGAGTCATCGATGACGAAGTCGTCGCTCTAATTCATAGGATCAGTCGTAGGATGAGTTCAGGGAGCTTTCGGCTGCTACAGGGTCTTTCTGCCTGTAATTCGGACATGAGACCGCGGGGTTGATGCCCGGGAATTTCGAGTTCGGATACGCTGAGCAGCATCGCGCGTTCAGTTTAACACTTCTCCGTATACGATGTTGGTCATTTGAGCATTTGGGGCAGATATAGAAATTCCGGCCCGACTTCTCGCTCGAGATAAGGCGACATAGAGTTGGCCGTGCGAAAAAATCGGTTCTTCAAGCTCAATACCAACGCGAGAGAAGGTTTGCCCCTGTGATCGATTTATAGTCATGGCGAAGCTGAGCCGAACCGGGAATTGCCTGCGTCGGAGACGGAATGGTAACGAAACGTGGGTATAATAACAATCTATCCGCGGAATCAAAACTGGAAGACCTTTCCGGCACCCCGTAGCAAAGCTACATACGATGACTCGGGTCAATATCGATGTGACAATGAGTCGGGTGCCATTGCAAAGTCCATTCTGGACATCTATATTTCGTAATAGCATTACTATGCAGCCAGTCTTCAGATGTAATTCGTGCGGCGGAAGAGTCGCCGGCAACATTCTGTTCAGGAATTCCGTCGGAAAGTTGTACGCATCGCTCGGATCCTCAACAATAGCTTCATCTTGACTCCGGAATGTGGTCTCCGAGCCGGGCATTCTGTCGAGGACGTAATCGTTGATTTTATGGACCTCAGCATTTTTCGGTGTCAATATCGTTATCTCGGTGAGATCGAGATTTCCAGCATCACAGAAAGCATCTCCATAAATCAAATCTGCGAGATTCCCTTCGGATCGCATATCTTCCGGGACGTCCATGATGCCGTGGATTTCTCCATTCCCCACCTTGAGTAGCCACTCCCGGAAAACTGTGTCAGTGTCATTCAATCTCAAGTTCTGTGTCAGACGGGGCTGATGGAAATGTTTCCACAGATCGGAATATTTCAGGCATGAATGCACGATCTCGCCTCGCGATCCTTTTTCAACCACCGGCAAGACCTGTCGGAAATCTCCCCCGAGCACCATGATTTTTCCTCCGAATGGTTCGCTGTTCTGCATGATGTCTTGCAGCAGCAAGTTGATCGTTTCCAGGGCGGTCTTCGGAGCCATCGGAGCTTCGTCCCATATTATGATATGGGTTTGACGCAGGTTTTGTGCTTCCTTCGACTGGCGTTTGATGCTTGATGAGCGACTGTTGTCTGCAACGATTAATCGGAAGGCGGATGTCACAGTACGACCGTTAGGCAACAAAGTCGCAGCTATTCCGGTCCACGCAACATTAAGAACAGCGAGGTTTCTCGACAGCGCGAGATGATAGATAGTGTTGTAGACAAATGTTTTTCCGCTCCCACCTGGGCCGTCGATGAAAAAACATTGGCCTTGTAGGTCATCTGTTTCTCCTAGGATGGTGTCGACAACGATTTTCTGCTCCTGATTCAATAGACGGTACTTGTCTTCCCCTCGAATTCGATGGTCTTCCACATCGACAGCAACATCGGTTGCTGGCAATATTGGGATTCCGAGCGGCAGAATTGCAGTCACATCTCGACCGAGATCCTCGAGGCGCTGCGTGATGTCCTGGAAAGCTCTGGACTCGGCTGTTGCGCTTGACATCCCGGAGTTCATAAAATCTTCAATGAGGTCTTCTTTGAATTCTGTCCACAGTTGAACTGTGTAGGGTGGGAGCAAATCCGCGAAGGTCAACAATGCGACGAAAAATCCGCGCAATTGAGCGGGCATTCTCAGAGTAGCCGCCTCTTGCATGGAGGTCCGGAAGCACGAATCGTCCCTCAAGTACTCTCTCGCCCTGGCCGCTTCAATAAAGGATGAATGTTCACGACCATCCACAGTGCGAACATCTTCGAAGGACGTATAGCCCGTTCCATAGAGAAGAAGGAGTCGTAACGCGAAGCGTTCCTGATCATGGGGGCTGACGAAATACATACGGCCCAAAGTTCTGGTGGTTTCGCGTTGCCGTTCTTGCCAACGTTCATGTTTGAAAATGAATTTCTCCGGCATCTCATGATAGCGTAGCTTTCGGCTGTCTATGAGATCTTCTGGAAAAGACCCGATCTCGCTCTCCAAATCCTGACAGCGTCGATTTTTATCGAAGAATGCCGTCAAGGTAGAGAATCGGCTCCTCGCTGCTGCCAGAGATGACTCTTCGGACCCCGCTTCGAAACGCACAGTTTCGAAACCGGGCAGATGGACTTGCAACCTCACGACGACGTCACTGCGGTCGGTCATTCCGAAGCCGAAGATACGGTGAGCTGCCTCTGGAGCGCAAACGTAACGCGCGTCCCAATAATCATTGATCTCGTCGTGTTCTTCATCAGTCGGGACTCTTTCCTGATGCAACCGAAGTCTAGCGCGATCCGGACCTTTATAAAGGTATTTGAAGAGATACTTGATCGCGTGGAGGAGGGCACACACTTCAACATTGATATGAGCTTCGAACGTCAGTGTCAAATACGGACAGTAAGGAACGACGGAGCGATTGTCCAGTTCACAACCCTGACGTACAATTGATCGACCGTCCGCACGGCGACGATACTCAGGATAGCCTTCTGTCGAGAGTGACGTGTCGTTTCGAAAAGATTTCGGGAAACGTTTTGAGCATTTTCGATCGACCATACATGGTGCGTTCGGGTTTTGCTTCCCACATGGTCCGTGAATCATACACTTGGATATTATTCCGTATAGCACGCCATCTGCGACTGGATCTGGGAGCTCAGCAGAAATCAAGCCATCGACGTCGGCCGGAGTTCTCAACTTGGAATCGGCCTTGAGTGTGAGCAACATGTGCATGTGAGGCAAACCACGCTTCTGGAACTCGATAACGTAGATGTATGCCGAAACCTCCCCTAGCACTTGTTTTTTTAGAACTTCCTGGCAAAACTTTTTGACCTTGAGCTGGAACACTCGCGCAACTAAATCAGGTCTGTCCGAAGCTGTTTGACCTTGCGAGAGGTTTTCGACGATCTCCGGCCAAGCAGGATTGCAAGTGAATGTCACAAACAAATCCGGCTTGCCGTATTTCGATACCATGCTCATAGCATCCTGATACTGGGCGACCATGTATCGGGGCCCTCCAGTGAAGGATGCGGCTAAGATTATCCTTCGACCGGGCGGTCCATCAAGGTCGGAATCGCTGTTCATGAAATCTTGGAGGCCGCGAACGGTGTCAAGTCTTAGCTGCCGCTGATTGAGGCGAATGAAATTCAGACGATTCATTTCTATCTTAATCCAACAATCGACGATGAATTGCTGCAGTAGCTTGCCAGCGTGATGCAACGGATTAAAGACATCATTCCTACTAAAGAGCAGATAGGAGTAATAATCCTTTTGGGTCATTCTCGATCTCGACCTCGATGCAGATCCTTCATCAAGGTGTGAATTGTCCCGTGTCATGCCTGGATGCCATCCGCTTTCCCCGGTGGGGAACAACAATGGGTACGCCAGAGGGTCGCAACGCTCATCCAAATGAGGAATGCTGCGGAGATTGCCGGTTTTTTCGTAAACAACCAAATTGCGTTCACCTGGGATATTTCCTTCATCCCCGACGTAGACCACGGCGACTTCATTGGCAGAAGCGACATTGTAGCGTCGATGATCGTCGTGAGCTCTCTGTTCGAATACCATCCTGACCGGTCTCGTCAGACGACCCTCAAGTTGGGCTCGATGCATTTCGTCCTGAGAAACATCTGCCATTAACCTGACTGCTTGCACGTATGGATTGGTATTCGTCAGGAGATTGTGCAGTAAGGAGAAAATGTTCTCCCGGCAGCTAGTGTTGACCGGACGTCCTGCGAGTTCCTGGGCTGCGAGCTCGGTATCCATGATGAGTACCTGAGCGCATAGCGGAGGCTCGCCCTCGAGGGGGTAGAGACCCCCGAAGGTGTGATACACCTGCCCATGTACGCGAAAGCAATAAGGTCCGAACCCTCGAGGCGTCTCGAGTTTGGCAGTCATTGATGCCATTGCCAGAGCATTGTTGTAATTTCTTATGTGTTGTCGGAAATGCCTGGAATCTTCGTCTTGATCGAGATACAGAGAACGTAGCTCCGCGGGGAAATTTTGGAAGCGTGTCAATTTGACCTTATTCGATGCACAGCACATGGTGTAAGCAGTTCTTCCGGGTGTCGTTTTCTCGCCGGCGAAGTGTGCTGCTCCGCATGCACTACAGAAGTCGTCCATCCTCCCCAGACTGTGCGCAACAGAGGGCCGATTCTGCGTCCCCCGAGCTATGCCGACGGTTCCTAGAATTGGTCGACCACCACCCGCAGCTCGTGAGCGTCTCCGATACGCTGCATCGATAGCTCGGATGGCGACGGTCTCTGCTGGAGTTCGTCGAGCTCGCCGAGCTCCATGTTGCACCGCATTGTGGAGGCGTTCAGTGTCCGCCTCTAATGCTGTCTGATTTCTTCGTCGTGCTCGCTGAGCTTGCGCATTACGTTCTTGGCTAACCCGCATTGTTGGTCCAGAGCGAAGGTTCATCCCAGAAGTTGGTCGAGTACTTTGATTGAGCCGTCGACGCCGTGAATTGAAACAACGCCTCCGGCTAATCTTGGGCATGGCGAATTCAATGAGGAGACCTCTGATCCTCGTGAAGAAACTCCACAGATCACAAAGAAACACTGCTTAGGTCTCTCGTACTTGTCGCTGAATCTCTCGAAGAATGTAAGCAAACCGCGCGTGAGTCCCAAAGTTCTTTTTGTCGAAGATGTTCACAACGGAAAACTCCGATTGGAGTTCAAAAAGATATATGGATATATGGATGCAGAGTCGGACTCTCCCATCGCTCCCATGGAGCAGGAAAAAGGATTGCACAGTAATGAAACAGGTGAAATATATGGGAATCGCTTATCAGATACGCTAAAGAATTATAGAAGACAAAATGTCCTTGTGTTTTGGGAAGCATTACGTTCTCTGGAGTCTCCTCTGATGATCGAGTGGAAAACCCCGATATCCCCCTATGCCGGACCGGTATTACTGCTTTATTGTATAGGGGGGAAAATTATATCATGTTGAAATTAGTAGGCTGGTGCGACGTCTCGATCATGCTGAAATTAGTAGGCTGCTGCGACGTCTCTCGAATCGCGCGCCTTGCCGGATCGCGCGCCTCGCCGGAACGGTCGTGGCATCATGTGGAGAGAAGTGGTGGAGAGGATTTCGTTTCCAGCGAACACTGGAGAAAAACTTGCTAATTTTCCGGAATAACTCGAGAACGATGCGATTGATCGAGTGGAAAAGTACTTCTTACGCTGACGGGAATGATTCGGCATCGAGTCAAAGTAACTTGAAGTCTTTTGACAGACAAATAACCCCGATATTTGGTACAATGACGGACCGACATTACTGCTTTATTCTATAGGGGGAGGGGATGTCCGGAAAAGAATCACGGGTCTTGTAACATACGCACGAATGGTTTCGGATTGAGAGTTTCGAAATCGCGGAAGGCTTTTTAGGCGACATCTGGCATGGGAAGACTGTCAGAGAGGCTTTTGAACTCCCCGCAACCACGTCTCTAGAGAACTACCTCTGGAACCATCAAATCACCTCAGTCATTGAGGATCATTGAACATTGAAACCAAACGTGGCACGTGAGGATGGATTGTGGTACTCAAGGGTGCCGGAGCAAACGATCGCGCCACTGAGCTGACGATCGCGGTACGAAAGCGACGAACATTTCAGGGTATTGGGGGTATCAGCACATCGTCTGCAACGCAACGCTGAAGACGAGTCGAGTTGTCGGCGCGCCCGACACATTTCGCGTACACCCGCGTACGCGACGCCGCGTGGCCACCTCACGACCGAACTGATTCATTCAGATGATGAAAACCATGTGGGCAGGATCTGCCTTCGGAACAGATTCAATTCAATGATCTTTTATTCACACAGTTTGTGTAATATTTTACCTAAGTAAGAGGTACATAATTGTACAGTGGGATTGCATCACAGGAGAGCCTTTTTAAGCTTCTCGAGGTGGTTAAGGGACAGGGGGTATGTACAAGATTGGGCATGGCACAGATCACAAGGTGCTTCGCAATATTTACAGAAGCAAGTCTCCGAAGGGTCGTGGTACAGGTCCGTTTGGCAAACCACACAATCGGCTTCGGCTGAGATTCTGGAAGAGACTCGATTCCCGGATGGGCTGCCGAGGTATCGTAGAGCGTCGGGATGCTCTGCGGACTCGGATCCGGTGAGATGAACCACTAAGAGTATCGCTCCGGGCTATGAGAGTAGATTATGTATGTCTTATTTTTAATAGGTGTCTTAGTTTGCAATATTTGCTCGAAGACATTCATGAACGAGAACTTTGCTCTTCGAGGATAGATACGGCATCGAGCAGGGTCTGACTCGAGTCTAGATCACGCGGGAATGTTCATACTGACTCGGCTTCCCAAACGCGGCTCCAGATTAACATTGGGAGTCTACGGGGAGCTGCAAGGAGCCCCAGGGAACCACAAGCAAGTACCGCGGTACACGGAAATTCGCGGTTCCTCGGAAAGCCCCTTTCTGAGAAGATGCATAACTTTTCCATAGAAGCTAAACATAGTTTCTACGATCAGAGGAGACGTAGATTCTATAGATCTAACAGTCAACCGTCGAGCTCTTCTGAGAATATCATGCTGACCGATTCAAAGACGGCAACTAACCCTTCCCACCGACTTAACAAGCGGGCGTCAACGAGCTCTCTGTGAAGGAAGTATATTGATACTGATCCAAGTCCTCCGAAAAAAACGGCAGCTATGCACTGTATTACTCTCGGAATTCCACGCGCGAAACACAACTCGATTCACTCGCCTAATATATGATGATACCGACTTTGAATCAGCGAATCGGTCATCGTTCGCTAGAGCGAGAAGCGAGGTTCTCGGGCTCCCGCCCTGGCCGAAGGCCCTCCTGCGATCCCATGAGCTTCTGTTCCGTCGGATCCGGAGCTCGAGATTCCAGATGCCCCCGTGAGCGAGAATGGAAATTGATAAGATTCTCCGGAGCAAGTACCGCTGTGTGATCGCGCGAGAGTTAGGTACACACGCACGCGCGTTCTCAAACTTTGGCGCTTCACCTCTGGCTGCCGTCCCTCCTGTGGCTTTCTTGGATCGAATGAACGCGATGGCGCGAAGCCGGCGCAGCTCAACGCCAAAAACTCTCTATATCTTCGGACGTCCTTGAACTCATTATGCTCGCAGAAATCATCGACGCGTCTGTAGATGACGGCGGTAATATCTATATATGGCTACGCTTATCGAAATCTTTTCCCATGTACTCAAGGAACACTGAGCTCGGATCCACGCTGAATATGGCAAACGAGGGGAATATTTATACAGGGAGGAGGACTCCTCCATGGGAATCTCATGTGAGCCATGATATGGTCACCGCGGCAGCTTCATCTTCTCCGTTCTCTGAAGTCTCTTCCCCTCCATAGAATTCGTCCAGTGCTATTTCAAAGTAACGCTTCAAACCCTCTCGTGCGAACACATTAGTATAACTTCGGAGTGATTCATTGGTCTTCCTCAGGAAATCTTCATCATCGTCATTCCAACGCGGCTCGCATGAATGTACTCGATTCTTAACCTGTGAACGAGCATTGTACACATTGTGTCAGATCCAGCCTTCCGGCTCGAGGGCTCGCCCTTGGTATCACGCGTAACATGAATGAACTCGTTTTCGTTAGCCTTACGGTCATTCCTCTGATCACAATTCTTTCGTCTTCGAACTCTGGAACGTTTGTGACCATACTGATCACGAAGTTGGGTATGGTGCAGTTGAAATAAACTGTCGGCATAAATCTTCTATATTGCGTCAGCGAGAATGTCGTATTCTTCAACAGCAAGATGAGGGTAGCCTCGTCTGGAAAATCGTTTGATGCATCCCAGGAGTGTATTCTAAAGCGGCGATGGAATCGAGAAAAGTGCGGGTCGTCTCCTCGCTGATCGAATCACCTCCACGGATGGAAACGGGGGAATTTCGCCGAACCTCTTTGAGATTTTCGAGACGAATTTTGCAGAGCTTGTCGCTTTCACAGAGTGAATTATGGAGAGAATCGACCCAATACTTGTTGTCATATCTCACCATCTCTCGATTGACAGCAGGGAGGCAGTAGTCTAAGACGAACTGAATCTCTTCCTCAAGGTCTGAAACTGTATCGAGCTGAGTTACTCCATCGCTGCCTTCCGACCTAGGGATAAGCGAGACCTGACTATTCTGTGTCTATCGATCCGCAAGATCAAACATATCCCGTTTCTTACGATGAGCGATCCAGCCTGTCATGCCTACTTACCTGATATCGTTGTTGAGGGATGGCGTTGAGATGTGGCTCCTGTGAACATTGAAGCACGCGTTAGCTCCCTGTACTCTTCTTCGTGTGACCAGTGACAAGTCGATTCGATGTGAGCAGTGACCATCTCGTTCCAAAATGGGGCGCACTTTGACATTCGGATGCCTCAGCGTCAGCTCATGAGGGGTGGGGGAATGCTGGCTTGATCGTGTCCTCGAGAATCACCATGAATAGGACACGGAGCGTCGGGGCGGCGATTTCAGATATGTTAGCTATGACGGAGTGAGTCTGACGACTCGTTTTTCTGTACCTTCCTCAGGTTCTCTCGCAGAGCTCTCTCTATTCAGGAGGAAGCAAACGATCGCCACACTGAAGACCGTCGAGATGATACAACTCTTCCGAATATTGAGTCTGCTCTCGTCTATCACCTCCGACACTCCCGTGGTCGCAACAGAATTCGGAGGGGGATCCGACAGTTTCGAGCCGCAATCTTCGATCGAAGCCCCTTGGGTTCCTCCTGATGATCGCGAGGCAACCACCAGAACACCTCTGGAACGAGGGGCACTCGGGCTGTGAGACATCTCCGAGCGAGTCTGCGCAACCACAGAGCAGCTCGCAGGCATTGCGAGAGGGCCGACGGAATTTCTCGAAGCGCGGAGGCTTCATGGGCTTTCCTATTCCAAACTTAATTAATTATATCATGCAGAGGCAAGCCGTCGGTCCAGTCACTCACAGAAATAATGCTTCATCCTCTTGCCCGTCTCGCGCTCTCAGTCGGATGTCCAGCATGATTAGAGGCCGAGAATCAGGTTTTGTGGGGCACACATGATTCGTC